TTTGTGTTCAAAAAGTTCTCGTACAAGATCTCCATAATCATCTAAACATTTCTTCAATGTCTTGTTCTTGGCCATAGTGGCTTTTAATTCAGTATCAATCTCATGCTGATGAATCTGATATGATGCTTCCATGTTGGTCATTGCACTATTTAACCTTTGATTTTCGACTTGACATCTTTTCAATTCACTAACAGACGTATTGCATCTTTCTTCTGCAACTCGTGAATTATGATAAAACTTCTTGGCTCGTTCTTCATGTATGTTACAGTTCTTCTTTAGTTTGGTGACCCCTGTTATCCACTCTTCTGGGGTGTTCCCTATACTAGCATTTTGAAAGGCTTGACTGACCTTCTGGAAATCATCATGTATGGTTTCCATTTTGGTGCTCAATTTATCTTTTTCAATCTTCAAATGACGTATTTGAGCTTCAAACCTCAGCATATCTTCTTCTCCCTGGGCGCCCCTACTGATACTCTTACCTTTGAAGACTTTTGGTATTAATCTAGCAGGACTCTCGGTTACTAAACTAGGTCGATCATTTACCATAAATTGTAAGGTTCCATGATCCAAAAGACTTTGGACTCGACGTTTGAAGGCAAGACAATTCTCGATGGTATGTCCTTGAGCTCCGGCATGATATTCACAATGAACGTTGATGTCATACCAATTTGGATACGGAGGTTGGAAAGGTTTTATATAATATGGATCCACTTCTCGTGCTTCAAGTAGCTTCTCATATAACTCTTTATATGATATGGGGATAGCATCAAAATGAGAACCACCTTTTGTTTTGGATTGAACCTGAGTTTTAGACGTCGGGAGCAGACCAAACTTTGATGATTTCTGATTACATGATTTCTTCTCATCTCTGGGAGCTTTTATAGTGGTCAACATTTCTTTAATATCTCCATACGATTTGTGAATACAAATGATGCTTGTCTGCAACTTCTCAAATTGGTTAGGATCAAAAGGCCCTTGCATATATGAAATTACAGAATTATCTTCATTAAGATTTCTCTCTTTCTGTGCAGGAATCTCTTCTCTTTTGGCCAAAACAGATATTCTATCCATCATCTTGGGCATCTGCTCTCTTATTTCTCGTATCTCCTTTTTCTCTTCAATGGGCATACGATCTTTGGGTGCATAACTCTTCTCTATCTTCAGAGTTCCCTCAGGATGTCTTTTCTTGGCCGCATCATATTTTGTTTGATCATAGAACTTTTTGTCCATTTACGATTTCTTTCCAATATGATGAACAATCTTTCAAGTCAACACCTTTTGATTATGCCATGATCATGCAATGCAAACAAAAGAAATCAATATGAACAGATTAGAGCAATGTAACATGCATGAAAAAAATAAAAAAATAGAATAGTTAGTACCAACTAATGGAAAAAATCTATTTATCAAGGTATAAATCTTAACCTCATGCTTTCTAGTTCCATGCTTTGTTTGGAAAATTTAACCTAACCGCATGATTTCTAGTTCGCATGTATTTATTCCGGAAAAAGAAAAGGAAATAAAATAAATTAAAAGCTAGAGCTTATTTCTCCTTTGTGTATACCTACTGACAAAATTTCGGCATGGTCTCAGATTGGGAGAGTTTCTAGGGTTTATTATATGCAGGTTTTCAGTTCTAGGAGTAAAAGCACTCGAACTGTCCTTGTTGATGCCCCCTTGGGCTGTCAACCCTCAATCTTAGTCCATTACAGACTTAAACGGATCGAGTTCAATTCAAGGGGACACATTTCTCTATACCTGACACGGAGAATAAATTCTCACGAAGACATAGAGCATATGAACCCCGAAAGTTACTTACTAGGTCTGACACGGAGAATAAATTCTCACGAAGACGTCGCTTTCACTCCCACTTAAAAGGGACAAACTCAATTATAAAGCTTTATGTTATGCAATGCAAGTGTTGTGTGTGAGGAGAAATGTTCAAACCTTTGACAGAAAAATAAATAACGAAATAAAATACTTACAAGTAAAATGAAACATATAAATATTATGAAAATAATAAGTAAATATAAAAATTTTGAAAAGAAAGAATTAAAAATTAAATATATGAACTTTTAATTTTTAATTAATAGAGACAATTTATAATTGATTTTAAAGTTTGACCGGTCCCCAGCGGAGTCGCCAAGCTGTCGTAACCGGTTTTCGTCCGGGCACGAATTTTTATACTTGGCAGGAAAAGTGATGTGAATAAATGGTTTTTTAAAATAATTTGGGAGTCGCCATCGGCCTTTTGGGTCAGGTAGGTCGAATACCTAAAAATCATCTTTTAAAAGAGCTTTTAAGAAAACATCGATTAAAAGATAAGCTGATCTGCGTTTATAACCAAAAATTCGTTCTTTTTATTAATAAAAAGGGATTCGTGGTCGGTTACGTTTAGGGAAGGATTAGCACCCCTACAACGCCCAAAATTGGTACTTTATTAATTATAAATTGTCTCTATTATTAGAAATTTAAAAATTCAAAAATATATTTAATTCATAATTCTGTTATTTCAAATAATTTAAAAAAATATATTAATATATATATAATATATTTACTTATTTAGAAATATCAGAAAAGGACTTCTAGGTGCCTTAAGACAGCTCTTTTCTTCGATATTGAAAAATGAATAAATATAAAAACATTTTTCTAAAAATAATAATAATAAATAGATTGATACATATAATTTATAAAAGTAAGATATTTACTTATTTAGAAATATCAGAAAATGGCTTCTAGGTGCTTTAAGACAGCTCTTTTCTTTGATATTAAAAAAAATAAGTAAATAACTAAAACATTTTCTTAAAAAATAAAAATTTATTTTAATATAATAAGATATTTATTTATTTGAAAATATCAGAAAAGGGCTTCTAGGTGCCTTAAGACAGCTATTCTCTTCAATATTAAAAAATAAATAAAAATATTTTTATAAAAATAATAATGATAAATAGATTAATATATAATTTATATATGTAAGATATAAAATAAATAAATAAATATTACTTAATACATATTTATATGAATTAAATAATAATACTTAACAATAATAATTAAATATATTTCAAATAAACAAAAATTACAATATAAATAAAGAGTGGCTAAAATAAATAATATTGAAATTATAGTAGCAAAATATAAAAATTAAAAAAATGAAAAATGACTAAATTATAACATACTAAAATTAAATGATCTAATTCACAATTAATTATGTAATATTGCAAGGGCTAAGCATGTTATTTTACCTATTATAAATTTAGTGACTAAAATAAAATTATCTTAAATTCGAATGTCAAATTAAAACATGCATTCGGGATTAAAATAAAATTAATTATAATTATAGGACTAAATCTGTTATTTTACCTAATATATATTATTCTATGTAAAGGACTAAATTATAATAAAATAAAATTAAGAAACTAATTTAAAACGTTTGAAGTTTTATTTCAGTGACTAAATCGTAAGGATTACAAACTATAGTGACTGCGGAGATGGTTTACCCCTGATGGAAATTACACGCACACCCCTCCCCCAAAACGACGTCGTTCGGGGAGGGGTTTAAATACCCCAAATGGCCGGCCCTTCGGGCCATCTTCCTCACTCTCTTCTTTCTCTCTTCTCTCTCTAACTGAGAGAATTAAAAATTCTCTGGCTTCTCTCTAACTCTCTCAACGGAGAGAATCCCGGCAGCCACGGCCACCGTTCTCCGGTGGCGATCGCCGCCGCCGGCCACCGTCAACGGTGGCCGAAAATTTACAAAACCCCCAGAAGATAGATCTGAACGCCCTAATGACGGTTCTAGTCTCCTTTTTCCCTAAATCTCTTTAGATCGACGTAGATCTAATTTTTTTACCTTCGAAAAATGAGACTCCGGTGACGCTCGATATTTCCGGCAATGAGCGAGGCTTCAAGGGTAAGTTCCTTTTCTTCTCTTCGTTTCTGTTTTGGTTTACTGCTGGTTGTGGGTTCGTATCTCTCCTTTTTTTTTTTGGTGCTCTTGGGTTTGTTTCCCCTCTGTCTCTCTTTTCTTTTTTTTTTCAGGGAACCAGTGGCTTTTATAGCCACCATGAGGTTCGTCTCGGACCGGTCACAAAGGGGTGACCTTTGGTGAGTCACCGGACTATGGTGGTGACTCACCATAGGGCTTCGACATGGGGCATTGACGAGGCACTTCTGGAGTCTTCAACGGGGCGTGGCTGAAACTAGAACGTTGGTGTGGCGGTGGAGTCTTCTGGAAGCAGCGGCGGCGGCTGGGACGTGTCCCTAGGGTATCATCACCCTAGGGTTTCCTGCTGGAACCATCTGGACCGTTGGATCATATTGTAATTTGTATTATTTAATAATAATAATAACAATAATAATATTTATAATAATAATAATAATAATAATAAAATAATAAAAGTAAAATGAAAAATTAGTGTCCACAAAGTGATGGCATTATATTACTACTTTTCATGTGCCACCACTGGGGGGCGTGTGAATATCTCGGTCGGTCGTAAGCTGAGCATTTATCTCGTTTCACAATGTTCTCCGAGATACTGAACTTAGAGGACCAACGTTTGTAATGTCTCTGGGCTTGTCTGCACAGCAAAGTTTGAACTTTTGTTTCCTAGATTTTCAGAACCAAACAAAGGGTTTTCTAGAGAAATAATGTGAAGTAAAAAAATTAACATTTTAGGCCAAGTTAGAAATTATTTAGTAAAAAAAATTTAAATTAAATAGTTCATGATATTGTCATCTTCAATATTTATAATTTTTTTCAAAATCATCTTGTATTATTTAAAACAGTTTATTTCAAATTAAAAGTTGCGCGTAATTATCTACAATTTTATTAAAGTTATCAATTGTTGTCAACGATTTTGAGGCCCTAAAACCAGCTGCAAAGATTAAATTGAATGAATCGAAAATTTAGAGTATATGATGCACAATTCTCTCCTTTTATTAAAAATGAACTTAAAATAAAGCAAACGATTAACATTTTCAACATGCAACTTGAATAGATGTAGTTGCAAATTATCAAATGTGACAAATAGATGTTATTTCTTGAATCTTACATGGAATGTAGACCTCAGCCAAGAAGGAAAGTGAGTGAACTGACAATGCTTCGATCTCGAATTTGGTCCCTCTTTGAAGCATCAACTCTAGTTTCGATCTTCAACATGCAAGAACCCCATACTTCTTAATTTAATAATTCAATTAGAAACCATACATAAATATTTTAAGAGAAATGTTAGGAAATTATACCTCCAATCTAGCACTTCTTGGTCAAGGTAGCATCTCTGTAACATGGCTTCAGTTCTCCTCTTATCTGGCAGTCAGGAAATACTGGAATCTCTAAACTAACTAGGGAAAAAGTAAAAGAACAGTAAACTCAAAACATGTTATTGTAACACCCCAATCCCACAATACCTCGCAAGTTTAGTTTTGGTCCCCTTTGCGGACACGCACACCTAACCTGCAAGGTATTGTCTGTTTTGACTATTTTCTCTTATTTTGTATCATAGCATATTCTTGAAATTTCTCAATATGAGATAGGGGTGTTACAGGAATTATGAAGGTACCGGTGGCGGCCACTGATCTTTACTGTATCACCTTCTATTGTCAAAGGCAAGAGACATTGCTGAGGAAGACTGAAGTTCTCAGAATCTGAAGGAAAAACTCCAAGCCATTGGATCTGTGGGACTCGTAGAAATTTGGCATCATAGGCCATATGCTAAGCAGCAGATTCCATAAGAAAGGATTCATGTCATAATGCTGATATGAGTGAAAGTTAATCTACTTGTGTGTTGCCTGAGTAGAAAACTTGAGGACACCAACAGATAAAAAACATACCATAGAACCAAACCTGTAAGTAGCCAGGATGTCAAAGCCGTATGGGTCACAATCAACCAAGCAATAGACAGGAAGACAAAACTTGTGAACAAGTAGTCGCAAAAACCTGAAGAGTAACATGTCCAGTAATTAATAGAGGCAGAAAGATGGACTGATCCTGTAGCATCAGACTGGCATATATTGCGACACAAAGGAATCAATCTTTCCTTCTAAATACTTGGGAAATTATTAGTATTATTGTCATCACTTTTATTAATTCAGTCTTTCCTTCACCTTCTTGTGGGAACATCTGGATAGCCTCTTCCCTGAGCAAGAAATCTTTTTAATAAGAATTAAGACAAATATTAAACAATTAAATAAAGTTGGTGTGAGGCAAGTTTGTGCTTACTGTGATCACAATGCAACGGTTTTTGCTGCAAAACTTGTCATTTGCTAAACGCTGGAAGACTTCATTTATGCCAATCACTCAACAAATGAAGATTTAATCTAGAAATATTTTACCATACATCTTAAGTACAACATTATTATTGAAAAAAAATGAGTTTACCTGATTCTTTCTCTACAACAAGTATGTAGTGGGCAACGCTTACAAGATCTGCATGTAATAACCAAGGGAGGCTGAAATTTGATGATATTCATCTAAGCTCATATGTGACCGTTATTGGTATTATCTTTTTCTAAACACACCTTTAACATCCTCAACAAGAACAGGGATTGTGTGGGCCTGTATTTCGATATAAAACATGAATTAGATATTTATATATTGACATGTTTAGACTATGATGCCACAAGCTTAGAGACACAGTTTTCCCATTCTTACAGTGTTGGGGCTATTTATGCAATCAAACTTCCGTCCTGCTTCAAAGAATCTTAACCATCCCATCACCAACCTATAGCAGGTATAAACAGATCGATTTCAATGTAAGTTATTTTTGAGAAAGGCAAATGTTAGACTAGGGATCATGGTGATGCAAGCTGACTCTGCAATGAAATGAATGAAGAAAAGGTTGCCAGCTGATAGAAGGTCAAAACAGGCAACTACCATTTTTTTTGGTAACCCACATAACCTTTTTCACATATACATTAGATCTCAACTCTCTGTGTTTACCTCAAATTCTTACAAACAAGTGTACAAGAACAGTCCATTCGGTTGAAGATAACTTTATTAAGTTATCAAATCTTAAGGTTTAAACAACTCATGTTTGACATGCCGAGAGCTATGAATGAAAAATGTATAGCATTTACTAATTAATAACATACAGAAAACGAATGACTAAAGAACTTGAAATGCATTATTTGAAGACAAATCTGCCAGAAATATGTTTTAGTTTCTTCAGTCTTCCTCACCCATTTCCAACAGAAACCTGCCAAAAGAATACGAGTCACATGTCTCGAATTGAGTAGATCTCTACGGACAACTTTTGATATCTCTAAAATTTCAACTCCCCTTACTTTTGTAAACAAAAACAAACAGAAGAAACTGAATTCTGGAATGCGATACATGGGATTAAAATTTTAATGTCCCTTTTGAACTTCTATTATATGTTCTACCCACACCACCATTCCTCATTAACAGCATAGGTTACCAACCACGTTTAGATTGTGCCGACTGCACTGCAGAAGGATGCATATGTCATTAATTGCTCTGTCTACGACAGTCTGATCTGCATCACAAAACATGAACAAACCCCCCCAAAAAAGTTCATTAAAATCATTAAATTACAAAAGTTGATCTAAACAGAATTTCAAGTTTCATCAATATCATCGCTGCAAATCAATAGAATGGATCAAATTGTGACCAAAAACAGTATAGAAGTAACACATTGTATAAACAAGTCACCGTCCTCTGATTCTAAAAGCAAATCTTTCAACACTGAAATGAAACTGGACCTGAAAATACCAATGGATGCATGTAATATATATCTCTCTTTGAAGCATGCTTATTTTCTTGAAGAAGTTGCTGAACTATCAGCAAAACCCTCAATAAGACATCTGAAAAACATTAAAATCAACCAATCAAGTTCTTCCACCAGGAATTTAAAATATAAACGAAAATTCATGTAATCTTAATTTAAGTTTATTTTTTAATTTAATTACCTATTCTATGGACATGGCTTTCCTTTTGAAATGTAAGAATTTCATGTCCGTTGGGCTTATTAGAGCGGCAGCTGCTGTATTCAGCACAGTAATAACAACGTATTCAACATTCATTTTTTTTTTCTTTTTTCTCTTAAGAAGAAAACCCAAAATTAAAAGGAACATCATAATTCAAAAAATATTCTCACCAAATCTCAGATTAAAATTAGATAAGCTAGTATAAAAAGAGAATAAAGAAAGCATAAATTCGAGGGAGGGGGGCAAAATTTATTTCAAACCAATTTGAATCAGAATTGGTGCAGTAGATTCTGAAGCGTTGGATGAAGATCAACGGAGATCGACCTTCACTCAAATCCTCCAAGATCGACAGCGTAAACTCTGCAAACACGGAAAGAATATTTTGATTTTCAGAGAAAGTTAACCAGAAGAAAGAAGAACCAAAGCAGTTTAAAATAGGATAATTTCATTGAAGATTTCATTAGAGAAACCTTTGATTTTCCTCAAGAGATCTCTAGAGCAAGTGCTTGAGCGAATTCCCTCCATATTTTCCGAGAAGTTTAAAAATCGGAGTACTTATATAAGAAGATACAGATTAAAGTCTAGTAGCAGTATTATGTCAAGAATTCATTTTAATTTCTCATGTAAGATTTTAGTTGTGTACATTTGAAATTAAATATTTTAATTTAAAATATTAATTTATCATAAATTAAATTAAGATATTATATTTAAATATTTTTAAGTCTATCAGTTTATAAATATAATAAATTGAACTTATTTTTAGTACACCTATATTTAAATATTTTGGAGTTGAGTAGATCTAATTCACCTTTGAAACAAAAACTAAAAAGAAATCACATGATAATCAGCAGATCACATGATAATTCACCTATGAAGTCTAATTTCCTGACAATTGCAGGGTTCCTGGAAGTGATTTATGTCTGCTGAATCTTCATAATGGCCTTCAATGATACAAACCAGCGTATGCTATGAGGATTAGCGACTCTGAAGACTCGAAAGAGTAATGGGGACGGACCGAATAAGAGAAGACGGCTTCGACATGTTCGAAGTGCTCCTTCAGCAGTTTTCGCCTTTTCAGCCCTAGTGATACTAATGAGAAGAAGCACTTCCACATTCCGAGTCCATTTTCGGGAGACTTAACTCGATTCTTACAAAGTTAGCCCTCCTAGTTTTGACATTATACAGTCAGAAACCAAATCAGAGGAGAAAAAAGTAATGGAATTCCTGATGCTGTTGTTTTTTCTGTGTTGTTACAATGACCACTGTTGGATAGCGAGACCTTGAACCTAACAGCGACCTCGCGAAACTGCTAGCCTGTGTTTAGCAAAACTGCGGATTACTTGGCGGAGAAGCAAGAAATATTGCTGATTAAAGCCTTGAATATGTACCAAAGAGTTGCTGAACCTGAGGTTCTAAAGGAGATTGAGAATTAAAGGGTGAAATACAAGTTTTATACATCATTGATCCTTCTTGTTGTGCTTATATTAACCGGGAACGTCTTCTTGTATAAAATTGAGAATTTAGACCTAGTCGATGAGTTTTACTGCGTTTGTTCCACAGTCACAACCTTGGGATATGGAGATAAAAGCTTTTCGACCGCCGGGGTATTTTTGCAGTGTTATGGATATTAACTAGCACTATCTGCTTGGCTCAGTTTTTTCTCTACGTTGCTGAGGTAAATACTGAGAACAGACAAAAGGCACTGGTGAAATGGTTCTTACTCGGAAAACAACAACGGTAGACTTGGAGGCTGCCGATGTCGATGATGATGGAGTCATTGGGTAAAAATTTTAAGATTATTGACTTAGATGCTTTCTTTTTATCAGCTTAATTGAAATCTTGCTGTTTTCTTTGCTTAATTTTTCCAGAGCTGCTGAGTTTATTCTATTCAAACTTGAAGAAATGGGGAAGATTTACCAAAATGATATTTCACTTTTCTAGGAGGAATTAAAGGCTCTAGATGTCAACCAGTCTGGAACGTTGACAGTATCTGATATAACCGAAGCTCAATCCGGCGAAACTAGGACTCGTAGAAACATCACATGTTATGAATGGTTGGTTAGACACCGTTTTTGTCCAGGCCAAAAATATTAAATATTAATTATTATTATTATTATTATTATCATCATTATTATTATTAATATTAATTAGTTTTATTACATAATTACAAGACTAATCCCGGAGCCCAATGCATAACCCAACAGATGCAAATCCCAAAAGTATGATCCGTTTACAAGTGACCAGACATGATCCGAACCGGTTCAACCCTACCCGACCCGGTTAAGATTTCAACCACTGCAATAACCCACGTGAAGCCAACTACTCCTGTCAGCCTCATGCTTTCACGTGATTACCAATTCAAATCCACTCTTCAACAACAAAGGAAGAATAACAAAAGCATAAATGAAAAAGTCATGGAGTAGGACCCTTTTTCATACGCTGTAAAAATAAATATAAACAAGGGGCTGCCATTTTCTCTAGGAAAAAAGTAATCATCCACAAATCAAGCCAAAGTCAAAATAAATATAACCAAACCCTTACCTAAACCCGTCATTAAAGTACCAACACAAAGAAAATTAACATGCAAAAGTGGGATTAGGTGATGTGTGAAGAAATAAATCAGAGGGGATGATTCGGTTTTAAAAGAAGGAGGAATCAGATAATTTGTAAGGGGGAAGAGTAAAAAAAAGAAAAGAAAGACTTCCTTTTCTCTCGGCCGAACAACAACCACGACGCCCACTGAGCTAGGATCTTCAACTTTCGAAGGTGCACTTATTACTGCTGGAGTGCTCACTGTTGGCCTGGAAATCAAGTGAAACTCTGTGAATTATTCAGTTTCTTGGTTGCACTGTTTTTATATTATCATGCATATTTTTTTAGCTATATATGTTGAACGAAAGCATCATACCAAGAAAACAAATGCTCTGACATTTGGATGTAATTTGTATGTGCTCTGTGCTCGATGTATTCTAAGAAATTTAGTGTCATTTATTAAGTGTCAGTACGAAATTTGAGTATATCTTTATATGAATTGTTACAATATGTTTTGGTTCAGGGAAAACACTCTTAATGATTCATATAAATGAATGTATTAAGGTGAAAAAAATAATATAAATAAGTTTGGGATTTTAGAGTTACCTGGTTGTCGGTGTTCGTCAGGGCAGTAGTGTTGTCGGAGATGGTAGAATAATTGGTGGTGACTTGTGATCGAAGGACCACCGTGTATGGTGGTCGGTCCTCGGGTTGGTTCTCGCTTGAAGAGAGACATGGCATGGGTCGTGATGCTGTCCTCGTGTGTTCCGTAAGCTTTATAGGTCACTGATTGGAGGAGAATGGCCACCCATATAGGGTGACCGAGGCGCTGTTGACTCCGGCTAGTCGGAGGGTCGGCTACCGCGGGGTGGTGAGCGAAGAAAAAGGGGCGAGTTAGATGGATGTTAGGGATTTGAAGTAATTGGGCTGAATGAAACAAAAAAGAAGAAGAATATATTATATTTAGGAATTTTGGGAAAACCACGCTAAGGTCCTTGAACCTTTAGCGTGTTTTGTGTTTCAGTCACCAAATAGTGGGTTTATTACATATAGATCCCCTAAATTTAAGTGTCCTATTGTATCATGGTCACTAAATTAAGGTATAATCACGTTTCAGCCCTCATATTTCTAGCACTTTTTGCATATTAATCATCGGATAAACTCTCTTTAGGTACTCCTATCTTTGCCGTAATTTTACATTTAAAGTCCCTAATTTTTTCTTTTATTTATTTGCGCTGATTTAATCTGTATGTTTTGTTTCATGTTATTATGGTCACTTGTTGTATATTATTTATTTATTTCGAATTGTTCTGTTAATTTGTATTAGTTTTATTTAGGTCACTGTTAAAGTTATATTTTACTTGTTATCTTTATGTTGTTATGTATTTCACATTTGTCATATAATTTGTAAGGTGTATATTTTAGTCAATAGTAAAAATCACCTTCGTTTTTTTATTTTATCATTTAAGCCCATTTTTTTGTATGATATTTTGTTTTAACTCTTATGTCCTTGGATATAAAATAAATATAGTGTTTTAGTTCGTTATTTATATTTTAGCCCCTTTATTTTTATTTTACTCTAATAGGGCATGTTATACTTAGTTTCATTTTAATCATTAATGTATTTTAATCTTTTGTATTAGTTAGATGCAATTTCTTTTCACTTTGCTATATATATGTTTATATTTGTTTAGTGATATTTGTATGTAAATCATATACTGTTATGAAAATAAATTTATTTACTAAGTACCCTTAATGCTTGTATACACGTGTATATTTAATCTTAGTCCATTTATTAATTTATTTGTTATTTTCAATTTATAAGATATCCACTAGTCAACATTTTCTTCAAATATTTTCAAGAACAACGATTTATAGAATGGGTGTGGAAAGCATCGCTTGATCGAAGTGGTGTAATCCGATACGACGTTCGAATAAATGTGAACTTGAAATAAAATTGATTTTATTTTGCTAATTAATTCTTTTTATTTTAAGTTAAACAATGCGATGCATGTTACTAAATAGCGATGTATTTTATGCGAAGATCGATTTTCATTTTATATTTCATTCACGTTTTTAATATCAACGATGAGGGAATATTCTTTAACTGATAAGAAATATTCGAGTTAGCTTTCTCGATGGAGGACTGCTAATTTTGAGATTTTTTTAGTTAAAAAATTTTCTCTAATTATTTAATTTGAAACAAATTAATCAATGTTCGATAAATAGATCATATTTTAACTTTATATTCGATTTGTGATTTCCACCATTACGACAACGTGTAAATGACACAGTACCAATTTTGGGTGTTGTGGGGGTGCTAATCTTTCCCTACGCGTAACCAACTCCCGAACCCGTTTTAATCAAATCTTTGGTAAATGCATATCAGTTTTTGTCTTAAAAATGATTTTTCTTAAAATTGTTTTTAAAAAGACATTTTAAGTATTCGACTTACTTAACTCAAAGGTCGATGGCGACTCTATCCAATTTCATACAAATTAATTCAAAATCACTCAAATTTTCCAAATTAAAATCATAACTATTTTTAAAACAATAAACCATTGTTCCACTGAAAATGGTTATGACAGCTTAGCGACTCCGCTGGGGACCATTTTTTAGAGAGTCAGGCTGTAAGTCGCTTACACATTGTCATTTGGTGGAAATTATGAGTTCGAGTCTTTAGTTAACTTATGATCCTTTTATTGAAATTTTTAATTGCTTCATCATTTTTATTGTCATACTAACATTTGAATTTTTGCTTTCAGATCTGTCCAAGTTTTTGTCAAGAGGTTTCATTTTTCTTTTGAGTAAAAGGGTTGAATGTTCCTCCTCACACACATCAAGCGCATTTTCATAATATAAGTTCTAGACTCGAGCTTTGATCCAAATTAGTCGGGGTGAATGCTTTACTCTCGTAAGAATGTATTCTTCGAATGAGTTCTAGCAAATAACCCATGGGATACGTACTTTATATCTTCGTAGGGATTTATTCCTCGTATGGGTATAAGGTAGTAAATCCCCTCGAATTGAACTTGTTCCCCTTGAAA